TGGAGAGAATGGAGAGTTTCCCATACCTGGGCGGTGTGCTCATGACCAGCTCCGGTTTGACAGCAGAGGTCTCACTCCGAATCAGTCGAGTGGCATCTTTTCATTGGTTGCGTAACGCTGTGTGGAAGCTTCCTGGTCTGTTGTTCCGCACGAAGATTCAGTTCTTCTCGGCCACATTCATGCCCTCCCTTCTCTACACTTGCGAAACGTGGACCCCCCTAATGGAACATCTGTGCCGGTTAGAAATATTTAGGCTGGCCTGCCTACGATCCATACTGGGTTTAACCAGGGTGGATTGTGTGAAAACCTCACAAATCCTTGAAAGATCTGGGCAAAGTCCCATCAGTGAGCTCCTCCGGCTGGCAAAGCTGCGTTGGCTGGGTCATGTGGCCCACGTGCCCAGCCGCCGTGTGCCGAGGCGGCTTTTGTTCGGCCGGATCGGGGGGGCTAGGCGGGCGCGGCGCGGACTGGAGAGGGGGTGGAGTGGTGTGGTGCAGGGGGACGTGGAGCTGGGTGGACTTGCCGATGACTGGTACCAGCAGTGTCAAGATCGGCCTCTGTGGAGGAGGCTCGTGAAGGACGCCGCTGCTGGGCAGTTGGAGGCAGTCGCCCTCCAACAACAACGGAGGGCGGAAGAGCGACGCGGTCCATGTTTGGCAGTGTTCACTCACGCGCTGTCTTCTGGACAGTCCTGTTTCTCCACCTGAAGAAGGCTACTTGTGTTGTGGCCGAAACGTCGTGAGAATTTTATTTTATTAGGTTTTATTGTTATTATTTTATTTCCATTCTACGTGACTTTACCGAAAGAACCAAGAAGAATTATCACAGTGTCAGGTTCACAGTGGCCATCTCAAGTTCACAGTGCCAGGTTCACAGTGGCCATCTCAAGTTCACAGTGCCAGGTTCACAGTGCCAGGTTCACAGTGGCCATCTCAAGTTCACAATGGCCGCAGTGTCAGGTTCACTGTGGTCATCGCAGGCCCACAATGTCCATCTCAGGTTCACAGTGGCCCCAGTGACAGGTTCACAGTGACCCTAGTGTCAGGTTCACAATGGCCACAGTATCAAGTTCACAGTGGCCATCTCAGGTTCACAGTGGCCACAGTGTTAGGTTCACAATGACTATCTCAGGTTCACAATGACCGTCGTGTCATGTTCACAATGACCCTAGTGACAGGTTCACAATGACTATCTCAGGTTCACAGTGACCCTAGTGTCAGGTTCACAGTGACCCTAGTGTAAGGCCCACAATGACCCTAGTGACAGGTTCACAATGACCCTAGTGTCAGGTTCACAATGACCCTAGTGTCAGGTTCACAATGACCATAGTGTCATGTTCACAGTGACCCTAGTGACAGGTTCACAGTGACCCTAGTGACAGGTTCACAATGACCCTAGTGACAGGTTCACAGTGACCCTAGTGACAGGTTCACAATGACCATCTCAGGTTCACAATGATCCTAGTGACAGGTTCACAGTGACCCTAGTGTCAGGTTCACAATGACCCTAGTGACAGGTTCACAATGACCCTAGTGTCAGGTTCACGATGACCATCTCAGGTTCACAATGACCCTAGTGACAGGTTCACAGTGACCATAGTGACAGGTTCACAGTGACCCTAGTGACAGGTTCACAATGACCCTAGTGACAGGTTCACAGTGACCCTAGTGACAGGTTCACAATGACCCTAGTGACAGGTTCACAGTGACCCTAGTGACAGGTTCACAATGACCATCTCAGGTTCACAGTGACCCTAGTGACAGGTTCACAATGACCATCTCAGGCCCACAATGACCCTAGTGTCATGTTCACAATGACCCTAGTGTCAGGTTCACAATGACCCTAGTGACAGGTTCACAGTGACCCTAGTGACAGGTTCACAATGACCCTAGTGACAGGTTCACAGTGACCCTAGAGACAGGTTCACAGTGACCCTAGTGACAGGTTCACAATGACCATCTCAGGTTCACAATGATCCTAGTGACAGGTTCACAGTGACCCTAGTGTCAGGTTCACAATGACCCTAGTGACAGGTTCACAATGACCATCTCAGGTTCACAATGACCCTAGTGACAGGTTCACAATGACCATCTCAGGTTCACAATGACCCTAGTGCCAGGTTCACAATGACCCTAGTGACAGGTTCACAATGACCCTAGTGTCAGGTTCACAGTGACCATCTCTGATTCACAATGACCCTAATGTCATGTTCACAATGACCCTAGTGACACGTTCACAGTGACCCTAGTGCCAGGTTCACAATGACCATCTCAGGCCCACAATGACCCTAGTGTCAGGTTCACAATGACCATCTCAGGCCCACAATGACCCTAGTGTCATGTTCACAATGACCCTAGTGTCAGGTTCACAATGACCCTAGTGACAGGTTCACAGTGACCCTAGTGACAGGTTCACAATGACCCTAGTGACAGGTTCACAGTGACCCTAGTGACAGGTTCACAATGACCATCTCAGGTTCACAATGATCCTAGTGACAGGTTCACAGTGACCCTAGTGTCAGGTTCACAATGACCCTAGTGACAGGTTCACAATGACCCTAGTGTCAGGTTCACAATGACCCTAGTGACAGGTTCACAATGACCATCTCAGGTTCACAATGACCCTAGTGACAGGTTCACAGTGACCCTAGTGACAGGTTCACAATGACCCTAGTGCCAGGTTCACAATGACCCTAGTGACAGGTTCACAATGACCCTAGTGTCAGGTTCACAGTGACCATCTCTGATTCACAATGACCCTAGTGTCATGTTCACAATGACCCTAGTGACACGTTCACAGTGACCCTAGTGCCAGGTTCACAATGACCATCTCAGGCCCACAATGACCCTAGTGTCAGGTTCACAATGACCATCTCAGGCCCACAATGACCCTAGTGTCATGTTCACAATGACCCTAGTGTCAGGTTCACAGTGACCCTAGTGACAGTTTCACAATGACCATCTCAGGTTCACAGTGACCCTAGTGACAGGTTCACAATGACCCTAGTGTCAGGTTCACAGTGACCCTAGTGACAGGTTCACAATGACCATCTCAGGCCCACAATGACCCTAGTGTCATGTTCACAATGACCCTAGTGTCAGGTTCACAATGACCCTAGTGTCATGTTCACAATGACCCTAGTGACAGGTTCACAATGACCACTGTGTCAGGTTCACAATGATCCTAGTGCCATGTTCACAATGACCATCTCAGGCCCACAATGACCCTAGTGACAGGTTCACAATGACCCTAGTGCCAGGTTCAAAATGACCATCTCAGGCCCACAATGACCCTAGTGTCATGTTCACAATGACCACTGTGTCAGGTTCACAATGATCCCAGTGCCAGGTTCACAATGACCATCTCAGGCCCACAATGGCCCCAGTGACAGGTTCACAATGACCCTAGTGCCAGGTTCACAATGACCATCTCAGGCCCACAATGGCCCCAGTGACAGGTTCACAATTGCCAGCGCGTCTCACCACTGTACGTGTTGCCCGCTCTTGCCATGCACCGCCTCCTCCGCCCCGTGCCGCGTCCCCCCGCCCCACCCCGAACGCCGGTCCGACCGGTCTGGTGGGGTGGATGTGCGGGCGAGTGGATGGGTGAGTGAGGAGTTGCGTGATTGGTTGAGTGAATGGCTGGGTGGGTGGATGGATGGTTGGGTTTGTTGATGGATGGGTGAGTTGGTGAGCGAGATAGGTGGATGGGCGGATGAGTGGCCGGGTGGGTGAGTCGATGGGTGAATGTATGGGTGGCTGGACGATTGGGTAGATGTGTGAGTGAGTTGGTGGATGGATGATTGGGTGGGTGCATTGGTGGGTTAGTGGGTGGATGGGTGGTTGGGTGATTAGATGGGTGAGTGAGGCGTTGGGTGATTGGGTGAGTGGATGGATGGGCAATTAGACGCGTGAATATGTGGGTGGCTGGATTATTGGGTGGGTGGGCGAGTGAGTGAGTTGGTGGATGGATGATTGGGTGGGTGGATGGGTGAGTGAGTGAATGGGTAGGTGAGTGAGTGAGTGGGTGGATGGATGGGTGAGTGGGTGGGTGATTGGGTGGACATGTGTGTGGGTGAATGAGTAGATAAGTGGATGGTTGAGTGAGTGAGAGGATGTTTGAGTGGACGGGTGAGTGAGTGTGTTGAACTTCTTTCGCACCGTACGTAGCCAACCGCGCTAATCGGAGGTGCGCGGAAGGGTGAGTGGATGGATTGGTGCTGCTTGAAGAGGACCATTACCTAAAACGTCGCCTACAGCACGCAACGTGTTAAGCAATGTTTTATATCGGGATCAGTCTTCCACTTCCCCCCCCCCTCCCCCCTTCTTAACCCCCCACTTGGTCTCATCCGCCAGGTCAGTCTCCCCTGCGTTACACCCCCCCTCATATTAACCCCCCACTTGGTCTCACCCGCCAGCTAAGCCTCCCCTGCATTACGCCCCATCACCCCCCTACTCTTAAACCTCCACTTGGTCTCGCTCGCCAGGTCAGTCTCCCCTGCGTTACACCCCCCCTCCTCTTAACCCCCCACTTGGTCTCGCCCGCCAGGTAAGCCTCCCCTGCATTACGCCCCATCACCCCCTACTCTTAAACCTCCACTTGGTCTCGCCCGCCAGGTCAGTCTCCCCTGCGTTACACCCCCCTCCTCTTAACCCCCCACTTGGTCTCGCCCGCCAGGTAAGCCTCCCCTGCATTACGCCCCATCACCCCCCTACTCTTTAACCTCCACTTGGTCTCGCCCGCCAGGTCAGTCTCCCCTGCGTTACACCCCCCCCCCCCTCCTCTTAACCCCCCACTTGGTCTCGCCCGCCAGGTAAGCCTCCCCTGCATTACGCCCCATCACCCCCTACTCTTAAACCTCCACTTGGTCTCGCCCGCCAGGTCAGTCTCCCCTGCGTTACACCCCCCGCTCTTAACCCCCCACTTGGTCTCGCCCGCCAGGTAAGCGTTACACCCCCCCCCCTCCTCTTAACCCCCCCCCCCCCCCCACTTGGTCTCGCCCGCCAGGTAAGTCTCCCCTGCGTTACACCCCCCGCTCTTAACCCTCCACTTGGTCTCGCCCGCCAGGTGAGTCTCACCTGCACCAGGCGGCTGACTGCATTCCGAGGCGTTCCACTCCCAGGCCACGCAGCGTGAGGTAGGCAGCCAGCCCTGCCCATCGCGAGCGTGCTGTGATTGTAACTCGCTGTGATTGCAACGTGATTGTAACGTGATTGTGACGCGCTGTGATTGTAACTCGCCGTGATTGTAACGTGGTTGTAGAGCGCTGTGATTGTAACGTGATTGTAACGCGCCGTGAGTCTAACGTGATTGTAGCGCGCTGTGATTGTAACTTGATTGTAGAGCGCTGTGATTGAAACGAACGTGATAGTAACGTGATACGATTGTAACGTGGTGTGATTGTAACGAACGTGGTGATGGTAACGCGGTGTGATTGTAACGTGTGAATGTGCGAGTCAGTAAATGAGTCTGGGTGTGGGTGTGTCGGTGAGTGTGAGTCGGTGGGTGTGTGTAAGTCGGTGAGTGTGGGTGTGTGTGTGTAAGTCGGTGAGTGTGGGTGTGTGTAAGTCGGCGAGTGTGGGTGTGTGTGTGTAAGTCGGTGAGTGTGTGTGTGTAAGTCGGTGAGTGGGTGTGTGTAAGTCGGTGAGTGGGTGTGTGTAAGTCGGTGAGTGTGTGTGTGGGTGTGTAAGTCGGTGAGAGTGCGGGTGTGTGTGTGTGTGTGTGGGGAGCGATAGTGTAGCGGTTAGCGCGCTGCGCTATGAACCTGGCGACCCGGGTTCGATTCCCGCTCACGGCCAACACCAGTGACGATTATCTGAACCGGTCCCGGGCCTCCCTTAGGTCGACTCAGCCTCAAATGAGTACCTGGTGCGGTGTGTAAACATCGTCACTAGGGAGACAAAGGCGGTCGGGCGTGGTGCTGGCCACCCACCCCCTTGTGTACCGTTCCGGCCTTCATAGGTGCTCGCTAACAGCACTTGCCCCTACAGTCTGTTAAGGCTATATGGGGGATCTTTGATCTTTGTTGTAAGTCGGTGAGTGTGTGTGTGGGTGTGTAAGTCGGTGAGTGTGTGTAAGTCGGTGAGTGGGTGTGTGTAAGTCGGTGAGTGTGTGTGTGGGTGTGTAAGTCGGTGAGTGTGTGTAAGTCGGTGAGTGTGTGTAAGTCGGTGAGAGTGTGTGTGTAAGTCGGTGAGAGCGCGGGTGTGTGTGTGTGCAAGTCGGTGAGAGTGCGGGTGTGAGTGTGTGTGGGTGTGTGGGTGTGTGGGTGTGTGGGTGTGTGGGTGTGTGAGTGTGGATGTGGGTGTGTGTGTGGGTGTGTGTGTAAGTCGGTGAGAGTGCGGGTGTGTGTAAGTCGGTGAGAGTGTGTGCGAGTGTGTGGGAGTGTGAGTGTGTGTGGGTGTGTGGGTGTGTGGGTGTGTGTGGGTGTGTGTGGGTGTGTGTGTTTGTGTGTGTGGGTGTGTGAGTGTGTGTGTGTGCAAGTCGGTAAGTGTGTGTGTGTGAATCTGCAGTGGGGAGCGGTAGTGTAGCTCCTAGCGCGCTGCCCAACGAACCTGGCGACCCGAGTTCGATTCCCGCTCACAACCAACACCGCTTGTAGCGACTACCTTAACCGGTCCTGGGCATCCCCTAGATCCACTCAGCCTCAAATGACTACCTGGTGCAGCTGTGTGTCGTAAACATCGCCACTGGAGAGACAAAGGCGGCGGGCGTGGTGCTGGCCACCCACCCTCTCGTGTGCCACAGTGGCCGGTAGCTTTGGTAGGTGCAGCTGCTACTCGCTGACAGCACTTGCCCCTACAGAATGCTAGAGGCTACACGGGGGAGCTTTGTCTGTGTGTGTGTGTAACAGCACTTGCCCCTACAGCCTGCTAGAGGCTACACGGGGGATCTTTGTCTGTGTGTGTGTAACAGCACTTGCCCCTACAGAATGCTAGAGGCTACACAGGGGAGCTTTGTCTGTGTGTGTGTGGAACAGCACTTGCCCCTACAGCCTGTCAGTCTACACGGGGGAGCTTTGTCTGTGTGTGTGGAACAGCACTTGCCCCTACAGCCTGTCACAGGCTACATGGGGGAGCTTTGTCTGTGTGTGTGTGGAACAGCACTTGCCCCTACAGCTTGTCACAGGCTACACGGGGGAGTTTTGTCTTTGTGTGTACACGCTGTCTGTGTACCTTTGTGTGTACACAATCTGTGTATACATGTGTATATCTGTGTGTGTGTATATGTGTACAGCTGCGTGTGTGTGTATCTGCGCGCGTGTGTATCTGCGCGTGTGTGTATCTGCGCGTGTGTGTATCTGCGCGTGTGTGTGTATCTGCGCGTGTGTGTGTGTATCTGCGCGTGTGTGTGTGTGTGTGTATCTGTGTGTGTGTGTGTATCTGTGTGTGTGTGTATCTGTGTGTGTGTATCTCTGTGTGTGTATCTGCGTGTGTGTGTATCTGCGTGTGTGTGTATCTGCGTGTGTGTGTGTATCTCTGTGTGTGTGTATCTCTGTGTGTGTGTATCTGCGCGTGTGTGTATCTGCGTGTGTGTATCTCTGTGTGTGTGCGTATGTATCTCTGTGTGTATCTGTGTATCTCTGTGTGTATCTGTGTATCTCTGTGTGTGTGCGTGTGTATATCTGTGTGTGCGTGTGTATATCTGTGTGTATGCGTGTGTATATCTGTGTGTGTGCGTGTGTGTGTATCTGTGTGTGTGTGAATCTCTGTGTATCTCTGTGTGTATCTCTGCGCGTGTGTGTGTGTATCTGCGCGCGTGTGTGTGTATCTGCGCGCGTGTGTGTGTGTATCTGCGCGCGTGTGTGTATCTGCGCGCGTGTGTGTGTGTATCTGCGCGCGTGTGTTTGTGTATCTGCGCGCGTGTGTATGTGTATCTGCGTGTGTATGTGTATCTGCGTGTGTGTGTATCTGCGTGTGTGTGTATCTGCGTGTGTGTGTGTATCTGCGCGTGTGTGTATCTGCGCGTGTGTGTATCTGCGCGTGTGTGTGTGTATCTGCGCGTGTGTGTGTGTGTGTATCTGTGTGTGTGTGTATATCTGTGTGTGTGTGTATCTGTGTGTGTGTATCTGTGTGTGTGTATCTCTGTGTGTGTATCTGCGTGTGTGTGTATCTGCGTGTGTGTGTATCTGCGTGTGTGTGTGTATCTCTGTGTGTGTGTATCTGCGCGTGTGTGTATCTGCGTGTGTGTATCTGCGTGTGTGTGCGTATGTATCTCTGTGTGTATCTGTGTATCTCTGTGTGTATCTGTGTATCTCTGTGTGTGTGCGTGTGTATATCTGTGTGTGCGTGTGTATATCTGTGTGTATGCGTGTGTATATCTGTGTGTGTGCGTGTGTGTGTATCTGTGTGTGTGTGAATCTCTGTGTATCTCTGTGTGTATCTCTGTGTGTGTGCGTGTGTATCTCTGTGTGTATCTATGTATCTCTGTGTGTATGCGTGTGTATCTCTGTGTGTGTGCGTGTGTATCTCTGTGTGTGTGCGTGTGCATCTGTGTGTGTGCGTGTGTATCTCTGTGTGTATCTGTGTATTTCTGTGTGTATCTGTGTATCTCTGTGTGTATCTGTGTATCTCTGTGTGTATCTGTGTGTATCTGTGTGTATCTGTGTGTGTGTATCTGTGTGTGTGTATCTGTGTGTGCGTGTGTATCTCTGTGTGTATGCGTGTGTATCTCTGTGTGTATGCGTGTGTATCTCTGTGTGTATGCGTGTGTATCTCTGTGTGTATGCGTGTGTATCTCTGTGTGTATCTGTGTATCTCTGTGTGTATCTGTGTATCTCTGTGTGTATCTGTGTATCTCTGTGTGTATCTGTGTGTATCTGTGTATCTCTGTGTGCATCTGTGTGCATCTGTGTGTATCTGTGTATCTCTGTGTGTATCTGTGTGTATCTGTGTATCTCTGTGTGTATCTGTGTGTGTGTGTATCTCTGTGTGTATGCGTGTGTGTCTCTGTGTGTGTGTCTGTGTGTGTGTGTATCTCTGTGTGTATGTGTGTATCTCTGTGTGTATCTCTGTGTGTATCTCTGTGTGTATCTCTGTGTATCTGTGTATCTCTGTGTGTATCTCTGTGTGTATCTGTGTATCTCTGTGTGTATCTCTGTGTGTATCTGTGTATCCCTGTGTGTATCTGTGTATCCCTGTGTGTATCTGTGTATCTCTGTGTGTATCTCTGTGTGTATCTGTGTATCCCTGTGTATCTGTGTATCTCTGTGTGTATCTCTGTGTGCATCTGTGTATCTCTGTGTGTATCTGTGTGTATCTCTGTGTGTGCGTGTGTATCTCTGTGTGTGCGTGTGTATCTCTGTGTGTATCTCTGTGTGTATCTCCGTGCAAGGCAGTGCTTGGATGCCTTAACTAATCCGGCCCTATCCACAGCCTCGCCACGTGATCTCCCCGTGGCTTCTCACTCCGTGAAAAATAAATCTGTGGGTTCCCAGATTTCTGTTGGCTACCAGCGGTTGTTCAAGCAGATCCTGGCTCTGCTGCTGATGAGAGACTGGATGTGGAAACCGGTCCATGGCATGGCTGCTGCTGCTGATGAGAGACTGAATGTGGAAATCGGTCCATGGCATGGCTGCTGATGAGAGACTGAATGTGGAAACCGGTCCCTGGCTTGGCTGCTGATGAGACACTGGATGTGGAAACCGGTCCCTGGCTTGGCTGCTGATGAGAGACTGAATGTGGAAGCCGATCCCTGGCTTGGCTGCTGATGAGAGACTGAATGTGGAAACCGATCCCTGGCTTTGCTGCTGATGAGAGACTGAATGTGGAAACCGATCCCTGGCTTTGCTGCTGATGAGAAACTAGATCTGTAAACCGGTCCATAGCTTTGCTGCTGATGAGATACTCAATGTGTGTGGGGCCCTACGGTGGCTATGAGATGTTGACTACCTCGCCTGGAGTGCAGGAGGTCGTGGGTTCGACCTCGACCCCTGACGATGCCTGCTGCTGCTGTATATTGAGAGTCTCTGGATCTCTGTGTCTCTGTCTATGAGTCTCTATGTCTATGGGTCTGTATGTATCTCTATGGGTCTCTATGTCTATGGGTCTCTGTATCTCTGTGGATCTCTGTAGCTCTGTGGGTCTCTGTGGGTCTCTATCTCTGTGGGTCTCTGTATCTCTGTGGGTCTCTTTAGGTCTC